TGGCTGCCTGGGACAACACCCGTGCCCTGGACAGTGGGTGGTGCGCCCCCTTAAGGCCCCTGGCGGGAGGCAGGTGGGGTCAAGGCAATCGACCTGCGCCCCTTAAGTTTTCTTTCTAAAGCAGGAGGTGTCCCGGGCCACGTCCCTGGCCCGCCCAACCCCCACCCTTGCTTCCGCATCCTGAAAAGTCCTTCTCTCCCCAGTTAGTTCCTCTCCAAAATTTGCAAGTTGACTTCAGCCTGAAACCTGCCCTTAGAAGTCAGGGACAAATTCTTGGGAAAGGTGACTGCTCTCTGTGCACCTCTCAAAAATTCTTAATGGTGAGAACCAGGATCAGGCCCTAAGGAGCCGGGACTCTTCTTGCCTTATTTCATATCTCCGTTTTACATTCCTCAATAATTCTGAGCTTTAACCAGTCTTCTGTGTGGCAGAAATAGAGGGCGACAGCATCTGGGCCACAAATGATGCCTAACAGGGCTCACAGTGATATTATCCTCTTCCCTCAAGTGGTCCAGGACTTGGCGGTTTTCAGTTGTGATTCCCATCCCCAAGGCCATGGTACTCAGAAACAGTTCAAGCATCCTCAACTGGCTAGTTCAAATTGCAAAGTCATGATCTCCTTAAAGTTAATAGTCCTCGTTGATAATTCCTAAGACAGCCAGGAATGAAACTGCTCGTATTTCGTTCGGGTAGTCTGAATATGATGTTGAGAAAAAAGTGTGCCCTTAAATAGGAGACGTGGTGGAATGACACATCTTCAACCAAGGCTCTGAAATAATTTGTCCTTTTTGGGGATTGTGAAAGATGTTACTTAGGAAAGTTAACTGCGCTTGCACTGATTTTGAGATGCCCCCCTCAATTAATATGCTGATGTACTGTTTTAGGCTTTTTCATTTATAGTTTTTAGTTGTCATTGTGCTCGATGACTTTTTAAAATATTTCTAGAAAGTACCATATTTGATAAATTATTCCCAATTTTATTCTGTTTTTAAAACTTTTAAAATTATTTACTTAGGATTAATACTGAAACTAACAGTATGAGAGACTTCAAAAAGTAATGAACTATAATTTAGAGTCAGCTTGAAACAGTCACATGTACTTTTGTTTATCTTTTTGGTGTCATATGGAAATACTGACTTGGTTACTAACTTTGTGACTGCGGCAATATAAAAAGTATTACTAGGTTTAGTATTTCCAGGCAAAGAGAATAGCCAGTTTTCATCCAGGGAACTGAACAGTGCCCCCAATATATATATTTTGCAATATTGCTCTTTAATAGTGTATAGAATTCATTTTCTTTCCCAGTCTTTGTTTTTACTTAAATGAATGTCATAACAGTAAGCTTTGGAAAACCTAACTTTTCTTAATGGCAGAAAGTGTTTTATTTAACTGCTGTTGGATACAATTACTTAAATTCAGCGTCATAGCAAAGTTGCTTCCTGGATAGTATCAGTGTCCAAGATTTCTGTATGTTTATGCCATTAGAGTAAAAAGAGATACTAATAGAGGCCAATCTTTCAAATTAGTATTTATGTTTAAAGTTATTGATTTTCTAATTCTGGAAAGTATAGATGATAGAGTTTCTTGAGTGATACTTACTTAGAAATATTTACTTAAGAAATTAACTTAATTCTATTTCCAACTCTTAGAAGACTATGTAAATAGCTTTGTTGGAAACATGAACTAACCTGTTTTGGGGATAGACTCCTCCTTGCAATTCTAAGCATTGTTACGAAGTAGCATATCAACTTTACAATAAACCATGATTCATGAAATGTTTATTAAGTGAATATGATGTTTTCTGTCCATATAAGCAAATGTAATTAATCAAATAAAGGAAATCAGATATTGAAGTCATAAAAAAGAAACTAAAATTACATAATTGTCTTTTGTTGCACACTGCATCATGTTAATAACTGCTCACACTGCTTTTAATTAATCAAATGCTGATTGCTTCTAACCTTCACTGAACAGTTTTAAAATTGGTGTAGTTTAGCCTGCAACGCTTATGATAAGAGTCGGCAGTTTGAAATGGCCAACCCACCTGATGCGGCCTTCTCTTCACCTGCTTTCTTAAGGTCTGGTAAGTGTATAGACCCCCAAAGGGTCAATTGGTAATTTTATAGATATTTGTTTCTGAAGGTTGATTTCCCCATGTGATATCTTTTTGGTTTTATTTCCCCTTGGTAGGCCCAAGTCTCAGCACCATTTCTGTTAGTGTTGGGCTTATATTTCCATTGTATTTTAAATGTGTCTCATGGTACACAAGAAAGGCAGAGAGTGGAGGCCCTGTCCTGACAGTTGCAAGCTATTTGAACCAGTGCAGTTCCTTGGTGCCTGGGAGCCTCAGGTGTCAAATCAGCATCTGCTATTAATTGTTAAATGATTTTTGTCTATTTCCTAGTATTAGGAGTAGAACTGCAGTGAGCATGGATGTACAAGTATCTCTGTAGTAGGGTATAGATGACCTTGGGTGCATGCCTAGGAGTGATATGGCAGGGTCATGTGGTAGAGTTCTCTCTAGCTTTGTTAGAATCCTCCAGACTGATTTTCAGTGTATGTATGTAGTTTACACTTTCACTAGCAGTGTATAAGTGTCCCTTTTCAACATGGACTCCAGCATTTTTTGTCATTTTTATTCTTGGTGATGACCATTCTGACTAGGAGGAGATGGACTCTCAACATATTTTTAAACTGCATTTCCCTGATGGCTAAGGATGTTGAACACTTTTTCAGGTATTTCCTACACATTTATAATTCTTTTGAGAACTCTACTCTGTTTTTAGATTCTTAGCTCATTGTTTTTTTAAATTGGGTGGTTTATTTTTTTGCAGTTTAGTTTTTTAAGTTCCTTGTGTATTCTAAGTACTAATTTAAGTACTAATTCTCCCCACTCCATTAACAGTTTCCTTTGCTATACAGAAAGCATTTTAGTTTCCTGAGCTCTTTGTTAGTAGTTGGTCTTATTTCCTCTGCTACCGGAGTCCTATTCACAAAATACTTATGTGTAACTGCATGATGAAGCACACTCTCTCCTCTCGTCTAGCAGTTTCAGGGTCTTAGATCAAGTTGGAGCTTAGTTTTGCACAGGGTAAGATACAGAAATCTAGTTTAATTCTTCTACATAGGGATGCCCAGGCTTCCAACAACCAGTAATTGAAGATGGAGTCTTTTGTCCAGAATATATAATATATAT